TTTGAAAATTGCATTTTTTTAAATTGCGTTTCGATTGCAACTGCAATTAATTGCCCGGCCCTAATATGAGCAATAATCTTAACTAAAATGTAGTTAGATGAAGGTTAATGCAGAGCAGCTGAAACGTAGAGGCTGATTAGTCTGGAAAGAGGGTTTAAAACGAACAAATATACAGTTTAGAAATAATCCCTAAACTCTACACTGCAAAAAATGTAAATCTAAATGACTCATTTTTTCTTAAAATAAGTGCATTTGTTCTTGAATTGAGAATGTGAGACTCTTTGCCAATAAAACAAGATGATTTACATTTAAAATAAGAGAAAACTATTTTATTGTCTTATTTCAAGTGCATTTTATCAGATTATCTTACTTTATTTTACACTTAATTTAAGACATTTTGACTTTTCTTTAGATCGTTTTTGCAGTCCACACTTTGCTACAGTAGGTCTGTCCTGCTTTTTAAAATATCCGACTTTAAAGAAAACAATAAAAAAAAAAAAAAGACTGGAGTCCATCAAATACATTTTAGTTATTTATTCAAATGAAGTTTATTCTGGTCCAAAAGCAGTGAATAAAATCCCAATAGGCAGCTTACTCTAACCTCTGTGCTCTACAGTTACTGTATTATGCTTCTAATCTTTTCACATGACGAATCGTTCATGCTCAGTCTTGAAATACAGTAGGTCTGATCAGACCAAGTGGTCTGAGTAACGACTCCAGGCTGGAAGTACAAGTACCTGCATGCCAGAGGTGGGAAGAGCACCCAAAAACTGCACTCTACTAAGAATAGCTCTACTTTCAACTGTTGGCTTTACACAAGAAATTACTCAAGTAAAATCTAAGAAAAGTATTTGGTAAAGAACAAAAAAAAAAACTACTCACATTCTTAGTAATTCTTTAATCATAATAATTGATTTTATGCACTGAAAAAAAATCTAAATCTAGATAAGTCATTATTTCTTAAAATAGGAGCATTTGTTCTTGAATTAAGAAGCTAAAAGAGAATTTTGCCAATGGATCGAGAGAATGTAGATTTAAAATAAGAAAACACAATTGCATTGTCTTTTTTCAAGTGCATGTTATCTAATTATCTTATTTTAAAAGTAAAAATACTCATTCCATTGGCAAACTATCTCATTTACCTGCTCAAATTAAGGGGAAATACACTTAATTTAAGAAATTTTAACTTATTTCTAGATCGTTTTTCCAGTGTGATTAGAAAGCCTGCAAGCAGGAAAGTGTTTTGTACAAGTTTTGTTATTTTAAGATAAAAATAGATGAAAAAATACTTCTAAATAAATACCATGCTTAAAAATAAAGTTCTGCTCAGGAATCACTTTTCCGAATCTATTAATATCAGAATAAAAACAATCCTTACAGTAAAAACCGCCACTTACACTGGAAAAACGATCTAGAAATAAGTAAAACTTCCTTAAATGAAGTGTGTTCACCCTTAATCTGAGTTGGTTAATGGATTGTTTGCTCTTAAAATAAGATAATTAGATAATATAATATCCTCTGAGGAGGAAAGACAATAACTTCGCTAATCACTTTGCAATTTACATTTAAAATAAGAGAAAAATAACTGCAGTTTCTTCTTTCAACTGCATGATAACTACACAACAAAAAATGCCTTCTAAAAAATAAGAAAAAAAAATAAAGTGTTTTAAGTGAATAATTGCTTATTTTGAGCAAAATAATCTGCTAGTGCAGCAAGCAAATGAGACAAGAACATAATATCCGAGTAGCAAGCATCCAAAAAAAACTTAAATCAGGTATAAAAATCTACTTTTTCTTTTACTCATTAAGATTTTTTGTCTTATTTTAAGCAATTTATTCTCATTTATTAGTCATTATTGCTTAGAATGAAATGTCCTCTAACAATTATCGCTCAAAACAAGCATACAGCAGGCTTTAAAACAAGGCAAATGTGCTTGATACCAGTTCATTTAAAGGCTTAAAACTAGTCTGTTTTTCTTAGAATTAATTTCATTATCTAGGTGTGGTGAATGTATGGGAAAAAGTACACTTGACAAAAACTTCTAAACGTTTTTTTGTTAATATTTTAGCAGAAATGTCACAGAATTAAGCGAAAAAAAAAAAAAAGCTGAGGGCTGCAGAGGCCAAACAATGAAGAGATGGTGATGTAGCAGAATCGCTACCCATTCTATTCATTCTAGCTCATCTGAATCGTTCATCTGGAGAGCGAGATCATCTGTGGTAGCAGCACTAGACATCTTCCAGGCATGAGAGGAAAGCTAGCAGCAGTTCAGCGGACAGGAAGAATGAACGGTAGCCGGCGCACGCGGATGACGTCATACACGCGCCGCTTCGTTTTCAAAAGATAAAAATATGAAAAATCTAACGGTGGATGTCTGGGGGACAGTGATTGGCCTCCATGTTCTGAATGCTGGCGTACCATAAAGAATAAATGATGAACAGTTTAATTTGTGCCTTCAAGTCGTTGCCCATAGGAAGACGTTACTGGATATAACCTAACGGAATATCTTCAGAACGGCTCCAAATGACACAAAACTCATAGAACATGATGTAATAATGTAAAATTAAGGGCCAAATGTAAAAAAAAAATCAGCGTTCCCCTTTAAGGCAGAGCTTCTATTATAATAAGCATATCTATGATGTATTGTAGTTTACTTTGTTCTGCAAACAGTGAATGGTTCACTGGTGAGGTTCAGAATCTCAAAGCTAAATCATCTCAATAACACTGGAAAAAATCCAAATCTAGATGAGTAATTATTTCTTAAATTAAGTGCATTTGTTCCTTGATAGAGGAGGTGAAAGTGACATTTTGCCAATGGAACAAGACAATTTACACTTAATATTAGAGAACACAATTGCATTGTCTTATTTAAAGTTCAAATTATCTAATTATCTTATTTTAAGAGAAAAAAAAACTCATTTCATTGGCAAACTACCTCATTTACCTACTCAAATTAAGGGTAAATACACTTAATTTAAGGAACTTTTTACTTATTTCTAGATTGTTTTTCCAGTGAACCCAATCAATTTAAATGCAATCAGATTTGATTAGCTGGAATATCTTTATGAGATGAGGTCATTTCTTAAAACAGGTTAATACTGATTATCTTATTGTCCTGAAACAAGTAAAAATGACCTCACAGTCTAAATGTTAACGTGACTCAGTCTGCAATGTGTGCTATTTTCAGAAAACAGCTGCTCAGAATTAGTTGTATTATCTAATTAGGATGAAAAAAGTTAATTTTCTTAAAACAAATCAAATAATCTTAACAATATTCAGTCTTACCAAGAAAATACATTGAAAAACAAATGTAATAAGACCAAAATGCTGAATTCAAGTTTATTACACTTGTATAGATTTTCCTTTTTTTGCAGTGTAATTATCTAATCCTAATGTTAAAAATGCTCCTTTTATTGGCATATAATCTTATTTTCCTATTCAAATTAAGGGTAAATACACTTATTTTAAGACATTTTTGCTCATTTTCAGAACATTTTCGCAGAGTAGTGTAATGAAATTTGAAGAAATGTGAAAGGAAGCAAGTGGAAAACCCTAAATACTTTTGGTTTACAGCTGAAAAGTTTTTATCCAGCTGAGTGAACAGTTTTTAATCAAACTCTGGACGCTGCAAACGTTCCTGATTCCTGACGCAACAAGCAGAAGCTTTTCTGTCATTACTGTCCTGGATATTCACGCTGACACGCAGACACACACCTGGTCTGAGTCACATTCGTTTTTAACCGACGCTCACACGTTGAAAATCAGTGAAACTTCTGCTCAGATTTTTTCCAGCCGCCCAGAATGAATCACCAGCAGCAAAATGAAGCAAAAACCCACTTCCATTAAAAAGGCTGATAAGTCTTATTCTAAGGAGAATTATAAGTCATAATGATAAAGATGAATCTTATTGAAAACTTTGCAAAACAACTCAGGTAAAAGAAAAAATATCTTTCAGTTTTTTTTCTCAACTTCTTCACCGTTTGTGGTCCGTCCCTCTTTTTTTTCTTCTTCAACACACCCTGTGATGTCATGCAGGATTTGGTCTAAAACGTTTTGTCCTTTAATTGTTCCAAGGATAGTGAATTTAAAATAAGGGCGGTAACTATCGCCTATATTACGCTGTGACGCCCATTAGATGGGATCAGTTCAGGTGAAATAACTCAGAGGACGACGTCTTGCTCAGTGGTCATGGTAAGCACCAACTTCTACAACAAACTTTTACTTTTTTTAATGCTCTTTTGTATCCTAAATTTAAAATGCATCTCTTTAAATTTCAGCCTTATTGTTTGCTGCATTAACTAATTTGTGCTTATATGGAAATATGGAATAAAATACTTCTGAATAGCAGTTCAGGCATTTTAGTAATTCAGATCTAGAAAGTGATCAGGTAGATCAGATAAACAAACTGATGTTTTATGCCTTCATTCTGGTTAATTATGATGCATGCTCTTTTACATCCTACGAAAATGCTTAAGATTAGAGGATTATATCAAAAAATAATAATAAAATGCATAAAGATGAAAAGCAAGTTTAATGCAAAGCTTCAAGGGTATTATTTTAAAAATGTACTTTTAATAAAACTCCAATTATTTGAACATTAATTCCCATTTTAAAGGTTGATTATGGAGGAAGATCGTTTACTCAGATTACTTACAGAAGCTGCTCCATCTTTATAAACGCAAACCTGTTGATTTGAACTTAATTTCAGAAAATCCAAAATCCTCAGAATATCCTGTTTGGGAAAAAAGGCTTAAACTTCTTGGTTTCCCCTCCTTTTATTCCAACGTATAGCTGCACAACAAGGATCTCCCGTTACCATGGAAACAAAGTGATTGGTGGAGAGGAAGCCTTAATCAAAGGAAAGATGTTATAGTTTTATTCTATGCCATATTTTGTCCTTTTTTTATCACAAATATTAAAGAGAAATAACAAACAGGTAGAATCCCAGAACATGATGAGCGGCGAACGTTTTAGCTACTCTTAATGTTGCAATAGAGACAATAACTCCGGTTGCTAAGCGCCCATCAATTCAAACAAATAAAGCCAAGGTGCGGCATCGGCTTAATAACCGAGTGCTACATTGCCACACCTTTTCACAGCCTTTCAACAAAACACTAAGCGGTGACTGTTTATTAAAAAAAAACACACAAAAACTAGACATTTTTTTAAACTTAACTTCCAACTGAAGTCTTACTCCTGCAGGACCATAAATCAAAACTCTTCTACTTTGGCTGCTTCCAGAGTGTAACACACCCTACCCCTAAGGGTAAGGTGTGTTACATTCATCATTTTGAAGGTTTTTGTTTATTTTAAGCAGCTCGTCTCAAAAGCTGTTGTGTAAGTTTTCAGCCGACAAAATGTCACAGAATCTCACAGAAGTTTGAAGTGAAATCACTTTTATTTCTCATTCCTTATATTGTTTCTTATCTTGCTTTTTTTTTATTAGGGCCTAAAAATGAATATCCTACAAATATTAGAGGTCTTTAAGGTGTCACATGGACCTGATCTTCAGAACCGTCCTGCATGCTTTGGATTTGTCTCTGCTTCGGAGAAAATGAATCACATGACATCCTCCTCTGCAGCCTCTTACTGCTAGAGAGGCCTATTTCGTCTTTTTGGGTTTGTTGGTGGTGCAGATCTAGGCGCATATCTATAGAACTGGCATCAGGGCAAGAAAAAAAAGTTAAAAAACAAAAGAACAACGAGGTTTGACTAAACAAACTGGTCACCCTTAAAAGTAAGATGTCTGATAATGTGAAGCCCTGATTGTTGCTGCAGAGGTTTGTTAATTACCCGTATTTTAAGTCATTTATGTGTAGGAATCTATGAGGAAATTGCTCGATTCCCTCCTGGATCGATGTCTTGGACGTCTTTAGACGTGTCTCTGCTTTCACACCTGAATCAAATCCTCCTCAGCATGCAGTCAGGTTCTCCAGCCTCCTGCTAATGACCTGATTATTAGACTCAGGTGTGTTAAAGCAGGCAGACATCTAAAAGGTGACGGGCATCTGCCCAACATGCAGGGCAGGTGGCCATGAGGGCCAGACTGACATGATAACTGATTACCGCTGTAATCAGGTAATGATCACTGGAGGAAATGATCTTTGTTACACGCTGCAGGTATGAAAACAACATGTTTACACTGCAAAAACAATCTAGAAATAAGTAAAAATTTCTTAAATTAAGTGTATTTACCCTTAATTTGAGT